AGGCCGAATGGGTGAAAGCACGATATGAACAACTGAACATGATTGAAGAGAAAAGATTGACAGCTCTTTGTCACGGGCAGTTGTATCAGGGTAGAATGGCTAAAGCCTTTAACAAGAAAGTCCGGCCGAGGGAATTCCAATCAGGTGATCTGGTCTTAAAAAAAATCTTGCCTAATCAAGAAGATGCTAGAGGAAAATGGGCTCCAAATTATGATGGCCCTTATGTGGTCAAACATGCTTTTTCTGGGGGAGCATTAATTCTACAAGACATGGAAGGGCAGGAGTTACGAAGACCAATAAATACTGATGCTGTCAAAAGATTCTATGCCTAAAAAAAAAAAAAATATATATATATATATATATGAAAAAAAAAAGAAGTATGTTAGATCAAAAATCCAAAAGGGAGGTCTAAGCAAAAATTAGGGCAAACAAAAAAGGGAAAGCCTGTTAGATTGAAAACCCGGAAGGGCGGTCTAAGCAAAAATTAAGGCAGATAAAAAGAAAATTCGTTAGGCTGAAAACTCGACAAGGTCACTCAAGCAAAGTTAGGCAGACAAAATCAGTTAGGTTGAAAACCCGCAAGTGCAACTTGGACATTAAAGACTCGAAACTAAACTGCCCAAGATTTTTGAAGAAAGTAACGCACACGGGGGCAGGATCCAGAGAGGAAACAGAGGATTGTACCGCGGAAGAGACCATGACTTCATTGGTGATGCAGCTAGAAAGCTAAGAGAATCAATTCAACGAATGACAAGAAACTGATACTGGGGCAAATTTTTCGTGGGATCTCAAAATTTCTCTTGTCCTTTTCCTTTTTTTTCGTGTCTAATATCTCCTCCCACAAAGATTTCATGTACAATCAACTTTCATATCAATGGAATGGTTTTGCTTATCTCATCATTTTCATTTCTCTTTCCTTCTTCCACTCATGAATGCATATTTATTTATCAAGTTTATGTCTCGAGTAACGTAATTTAAGTTTAACAATGTGACTAACATTGCTCGTAGCAATTCTTCGATTATTGGTTTTGATCGTGGAACTTGATAATTTAGAACACAAGTCATAAGGGAGTGGTATAATCATGTTGTTGGGAGTGAATTTTCATGGAAAAGGCAGGAAGAACAAAGAGGCGAAAAGGATGGGACAAATGGGTTCACAAGAGGTTTTGAGACCTGATGAAAGTCTCACGAATGAGGGTTTGATTGGCTTTAGTTCTTTTTGGTCGTCAGTTTGGTTTTTCGTTCGAAGAATGGAAAGTTTCTTGATTCTACTTTATTTTCTCATCGTTTAAGTAAAGCTTAACAATTTTACCTTATTTTTCTCATCATTTTAAATTTTTTATTTCTCTCACAAGCATCCAATTTCGAGCTCATGATTTCAAGCTCAGAGGCTCATTGCAATTTATGTTTCGGCTCGGAGGCCATGCAATTTAAATTCATGTCATTTATTTTCGAGCTCAGAGGCTCGTTGCAATTTAATCTTTCGGCTCAAAGGCCACACAATTTAAACTTATGTCATTTAATTTTGAGCTCAGAGGCTCATTGCAATTTATTTTATTTATTTATTTATTTATTTTTATTTTTTATTTTTATTTTATTTATTTTGGCTCAGAGGCCATGCAATTTAAATTTCTATCATTTAATTTCGAGCTCAGAGGCTCATTGCAATTTATTTTTCGGCTCGAAGGCCATGCAATTCAAATTCATGTCATTTATTTTTGAGCTCAGAGGCTCGTTGCAATTTAATCTTTCGGCTCAAAGGCCATGCAATTTAAATTTCTGCCATTTAATTTTGAGCTCAAAGGCTCATTGTATTTAATTTCAGACTCAGAGGTCATACATTTTAAATTTATCCATTTTTGAGCTCAGAGGCTCGCCATTATTTAATTTCGAGCTCAGAGGCTCATTGCAATTTAATTTTTTGGCTCAGAGGCCATGCATTTTAATTTATGTCATTTCATTTCGAGCTCAAAGGCTCAATGTAATTTAAATTCCTCGGTTCAGAGATTGTAGACTTTAAATTCAAGTTATTTAATTTCGAGCTTAGAGGCTCATTACAATTTAATTTTTAGGCTTAGAGGCCTTGCATTGGATATTCATATCTTTTATTTCGAGCTCAGAGGCTCACTGTATTTAATTTTTAGGTTGCATCTTATCCATATGTATTTCTACTCACTTAGGACAAAATTAGGATTCATGTCTTTACTTGTTCCTTATAATGATAATATGTCAACTACAATTTGTCATATTATATAGTAAGAAACAAATAAAGAGGGGCAACTGTGAACACCTAATTTTGTTCTAAATAAAAATTTATTATTAAATTGTGAGCACCGTTTTCTCAACAAAAAAAAAAAAAAAAAAACTCTTTTCTTTTTTATCAGATTTAAGTATCTTCAGAAATCATATTAGTTAGTTTTCTTCCCTTTTCTTTATCTTACGCCAAGTATCCCCAATTTGTGTACGACCTCATGAAACGCTCCCATCATGGTCGAAGATGTCTCATCCTCAGAGCTCTCTGCAAACTCTCTTACCCACGCACGGCACCGCCCCTGCAAACCGGCGAAGGACAGAGCATGAAAGTAGAAATCACCAGGAACCAAGACCTAGAAGCAATGCCTAAAAAGGAAATCGGAGGAGACTGGTGAAGGATCCGAGTCTGAGTATCTGCAATTCATCGAAGGACCCTAGGTTTTCTTTAATCCATTGGACTCATTGAGGAGGGGTTTCTTCTAGTTTCTCCTATAAAAGCAAACGACAAAGGATTGAGGAATGAGGTTTTTTTTAGAAGGGAAGGGAAATTTTAGCAAGTCTGGTATTACTACTACATGTGACTTAGTGTTAGAGGGTTACCTGGGATCCAAAGGGGATAAAAAAACATTCTACACAAAAACTAAGAGAGGGTTGTTTTTGAAATTTAAGGAAAAATTGCCTGAGGGCATTCTGATCGGCGCTCAAGAAGGGGAAGAAAAGTTGATCCAGAGACAGAAGGACCACAAGGCACATATTGCAAGGTTCAAAAGTTGATTCTGGTCAAAGAGGTGGTTAGCACTTCTCATTTCATAGTTGAGAAAACAGCCTGTGAGTAACACATTTTTTTCTCTCTTTCTTAATCACGTTTTTCTTTTCACAACTATTATGTCTAATGTGAGTTAACAAATAAAAATATGGTGTATGTAGTTGTTAATCCTTCTGATGATTTGAGTTAGTCTTATTAGATGTTCCCCAAGTTTATATGTGTCTGTTCTGTTCTAAGAAGTAAAAGGAAAAAGTTGGAGGCTGAATTGGCTTAGGTGTAAAAGAATTTCTGTTGGTCTTGTCTATATGTAGTTGTTCGCTCTACGTTTTCGTTTTGTCTATGTCAGGGACTTCTAAAAAAAAAATCTTTGGTCTGTTTACTGATATGCAAGAACACAACCACTTGATATTCTTAAATTCGTTAGCACTAGAATTCTTAGATTGCAGGTTTATCGATGAATGAATTAGATTTGTTTTATTTTCTTATTTTTTTATCACTTATTTAATGTAAATAGTAACTTTAAGCTATGGGCTCAAACTACATTTTTGTTTTTTTTCTTTTGATCTAATTCAACCCATGAAACTATGTTACTGCACCTCTTTTTAACATATTTTAGCTAAACTCATCCCTTATCTAGCATATGGTGTAGTTCGTGGACATATTTTAAGCTATCATTTTAAAAAATAATAATAATAAGAAGAAGAAGAAGGAAAGATGAGCGATGTTTCTTGTGCTTTTTTTAGTCTACATTTTTATATTTTTATTTATTTATTTATTTTTTTTCTATTTTATTTTTATTTTCACTCTTTTTGATATCATTAATCCCTTTATTTTTTAGAATCATTTTGATTGTGACAATACGGTGATTTTAGACTGTCTAGCAGTAATCAATGAACAAATAAACAATTGTAATTTTTGTTTAAAATTATTGATCTTAGATTAATTTAGAAGATAAAGAATAAAGAAGATTAATTTATCATTAAATAAAATGGGAGTCAACTGAGTCGTGACGACTTGTTAACCCGACGTTTTTTGTGTTTTGGGTCACTTTGGTTGGGACAACTTGGTGATCCATGACTCATAATAAAATTATAATTCTAAAATTACGGATTAGCTGAGTTGAGACAGCTTGTTAATCCTACGTCTTGCTCGGATCATTTTGGTTGGGACAACCTGGTAATCCGGGAACGTCGAATATAATCAAATGATTTTTTTTTCAAAATTAAAATGAATCAACACACAAATATTTTATTAAGAACGACGTAGCTTTGAATTCTTCACTGCACCGGAGGATACGTCGGAGAGGAACTTTTTCCGTCAAGCTAAAATAAAATTTTAATAATTTTAGTCTTCTTTTTTCTTAATTAAATAATCATATTTATTTTAAGGGATGAAGCAAATATTTTTAAAAGTTATTAATAATTCGCACAATTAATTCTAGGTAATCGTTTTTTAACGGATGTGTCAGGGGTGCAGTGGGATTAAGTTTTCACCCTTCCCTGCGCGTAATTAGACTCCCGAACCTTTGATCTAAAGTTTTAAAGACCAGTTTGCAATAAGAGGTTTTCCAATTTTTCCAAAGTAAATAAAATTGGTGGCGACTCCTTTGTTTTATTTTTTTCGGGTCGTTACAGAAACAAAGATGATACCATTCATTTTCATACATTTTATACATGATGGAGATAACCAAGATGAGAAGACTAAAATGAGAGAAACATTAAGGTAAGGAAACAAAGTTATAACCGTCCATGATACTATTCTAGGTTGTGAAAAATAGGATCAACAGTATTACAGCAAAAATTTTACTGTAGTCAGCCACAGTGGAGCTTACATGAACATCATATAATGTAAACAAAAACACAGCTCCAATCAAGATAAGGAGATACAGACAGGTATTGAGTATGGTACCTGTGTTAAGGGCCATAGGCTTGTCAAATAACCCTCAATCATCTTACCTGCTTTATCCTGAAGTTACAGGATTTCATGAGGGCACATTGAAGTGGAAAAGCCAGGATATGACAAAGGCAAAGACCATACATGCAAGAAGGAAATTCAAGAACCGATGACCCTGCCAGAAATTTCGACTTTCTGTAGGGGGGGCTGGTCCAGTTGGTGGTACCATGGAGGCATCATTTGCCTCATTCCATTGTTCTGTCATTTCAACTTCAACTACACCAGTTACATTGCGTGCAATGGATCCACAGATTTCACAAGTTCTGTTAATTGTACAAGCAAGAAATAATAGTTATCACCAAAAAAAGTGAAAAATAAAAGCAGTAAATTTTATAAGAAATTTAAACACAGAAGCAATACACTATTCACAAAGGAAGGTAATGGATTCAGAAACAGCCTATCCATTAAAGTTCCCTAAATGATTCTGACAAACATTTGAGCCCTTTTTCTTTAAAATAAACTTTTCTCCCCTTGGCCTTAAGTACCAATCAAAAGCACATGCAAGAACTGTTTAAAATCATGTACATGCTTGAAACCACTGTTATCATGAATTCATCTTTTAGAAGAAAATTATTGATATTGAGGCATTTTTTTACCAAAAAACAAGTAAAGCCATATGAATCGAACAAACCTATTTCCAAGCATTTCAGCTAACAAGAGTTTCCGAGATGCTTTCATACCAAATCCACATGAATCAGTCTAAGTTTTAGATATATAATCTCACAAACAAACAACAGCATATGATCATTGACCTACAGAACTACTTCCTGTTCTTTCGTGTAGGCATCTTTTCTATTGTCCCCTCTTGTGTTTTGTGGGGTACAACAGTGGCTAAGGAAAAACAATTGACACACACAGTAGGGTCTGTAAATTGATAACTAAGTAAAAACTCAATAGTCCTTTTATAATCCCAAAGCTTGAAAAGGCACCAAAAGGATTGCAAAATATTAACAAAGATATTACTTTTTCATTGGTCCAACTTGTATATGATAATTGGCCAGCCTATTAAATAAAATGACCAGCAAATGGGGATCTTGTCCTTCAGGCTTCTTATCACAGATTACAGAACAGAGTGCTCAACTACAAACCAAAATGACAAATAAAGAATAACAGGAAAAAAAATAAATGGCATATATCCAATTTTCAAACTTGCCAGCAGTTTATTCAATTTACTTGTAACCAGTAAGGAAAGGCCAGATCAAATCACAACTGGATTAAGTACAGTTTGACAATTATTAGAGCAATTCTCCGCTTGCTATCCATCATAAAAGCACCTGCGATAAATAAACATATAAATGACTAAACTGTTTCTGCAACAATCCAACCTTCCAAGAGGGAATCAATTTGAGAGCTTATGATGGAAAAGTCATAAAATTATACAAAAAATTATGTACACATAATGATTTACACACAGCAAATTGTTTTTACTTCCTCTTAATTGTCTCCTTTTTTCTTAACCAAAGAAAAAAAAAAACTTTTCATCTTTATTTAAACACTTTTTTGTAATAGCGTAGCTCAATTTAGTTCTCCTTATGAAAAAGACTATCTATGCCTCAAATTAAAGCATGGTGACTAGTGAGCATGTCACCTGAGTGCCTTAAATAGTGGATACTCAATCACTACTACAACAACAAAAACTACAAAATCAAGCAATTATTCTACCAGAACCAATCTCACAAATTAACTACACCAAGAGCATGAAGATCAATAGTTTACCCAGACACAGCATAGAAACAAGCAAGAAAGCAAAACCCTTTCTTCACAATACACTTACTTGTTACCCTTGATCTTGAACCAAGCCTCAGCACATTGTTTGTGGACAGCAGCTAAATCATCTTTGCAAGAACATCCCAGCTCAATGGGAGTCCCAGATTCATGGTTATGGTTGGTCATATCCATGCTGAGATGGCAAATCCTGCAATCCCTCTCCACCTTAGCAAAATGTGCCTTCAGATCCACATCCACAGATACCACACAGCACTCAGACACAGAGGATCCCCTCTCTTTTTCAGACATTCCCACAATCTCGGAACCAGATTCCTGCGAAGACCTTTGCTCCTCATCTGACTCAGAACACCCTTCGCTCCGAGAACAACCATTGTCAATGTCAATGTCAATGTCAACAACAACAACAACAACGCCAGACTTGTCCTCTGCAACAGACATTTTAAATACCCAAGTTGAGAATCTTCATGTAATAATATGGCTCCACCGGGCAGAGATCATTAATACCCAACAAGGTTAGAACAAAAAGTCGCAGTTTTTATGCTGAACCTCAACAAAAAGGAGCAGAGGAAAAGAGTAAAATGTGAAGTGGGTAAGGCATTAAGCAAACAAGTTCATTATAGAGTGTGGTAAGGGGTCTGTGTCTTCTGAGTCCCTGACATGACTTGAAGGAAAGGGAGAGTCAGCGAATGAGAGATATCAAATTATCAATCAAGAAAAGGAAAACTGTTTGTCTTCCCCCATATCATTTTTTTTTCCTGTTTCCATGTTAAAAAAATTAGATTCTTCATTGGGGTGGGGGGGTTCATGACTTCATAATGACATGCTTTAACTCAGCGAGTGGGCCCCTCTCTCTTTTTTTGTGGGTGAGACATGAATATGGTAACTGGTATGAGTAGGGTGTTGTGTTTCTCCGATAAAGTTTCAATAATACTATACAGTATACACTCACTAAAATAAGAAATATATGATACTAACACACTTGCTTGTTTTTATAATTTTAACAGAAGAATATGTATTATAAAAGTGTTTGTCTGATTTGGTTCTATGATGGGACCAGATGCCAAACCATGAGTGTAAGAGAGCAGAAGATGAGAGAAAGAGTAAAAGGAATAGTAAAAAGAGTCTGAGATTATATGCCAGAAAAAGGAAAAAAGAGTCTCAGATTTATTTACTGAGGATGCTTATGATTGATATGGTGACCCAAAATGCTTTTTCTTGTAGCTTCAGGACACGACAGATAAAATTGTCAAAAGCATAAATATTTTGTCTTCTTTACCTCTTTTTCTTATTTATTTTCAGCTTTTTGTCCTCGAACACGAACCCATTCTTCCTTGGCGCAACTAAACAAATACAAATCATAATAACTACCTTGGTGCAAAACAAGTCTTTTCAATGATCCAACAAAAGCATAATTTTAATGGTAAAGGATTGGGTAGTTTGTATATCAGTATCATAGTTGTATAAAAAAATAAACACATAATTCTAACTGGATTACATAATTTCAAATTAATGCCATTTATATACGGATTTGTTTTAGAAGATGGCATCTAGCTCCTTCAGGGCTCAGGGAAAAAAGAGAGGATCTTGCTAAGGAGTACCATACGGGTACTAAGGTAAAAAAGCATTTAATTTTTTTATTAGATTTATCAAATTATTTAAATAATAAAATAAATATTTTTTAAATTTTAAAATATCAATTTCTGTGTTCATTTAATACTTATTTTTAATTGGGATATACGGTCTATTACTTGACTTTTTATAGTTTCCAACTCTGGGACAACGTCTAAAGTGTTATACTATTCACAAAAATTTACTTTAATACCACGATTTGAAATTATATTTTTTCAAAATGTCACGTCGCCTAACTTGCTACAACACCTGACGAGTTAGGTGTGCACATGTGGCAGCAGATTCATGGCCACGTAAGCCGCTGCGTAGTGAGATTACGTGGCAGACAACTTCTGCCACGTGGTCTAAAATGCTAGGCAGCGTGGCGTCTTAGGTGTCAACTTTTTTGACACGCGTAAAACACGTTATGCAACATAGCATTTTACATGTCAGCTTTTTTGACACGAGGCGAACATGTTGTGCAGCATAGAATTTTACATGTCCAGCGTTTTTAGCTTAATAAATACACCACTTTCGCTCCCATTTCATGCATCAGTGTGGGTTCGTTTCTCTCAACAGTTAATTTCTGTTGTGTTTTTTTTTCACCCAATTTTTTTCAAAATGAGTGATAACAATGATTCATTAATTGCATTAGTATAATAAAATGAGAGGAAATATTTTGGTCCTAATGGGCAAGTTTTTTAAGGAGATACAAAAGTATTTCGCATGAGCCCGCGATGTAGCTTTAATCAACTGAAGAAGGCAATATACAAGAAATTGAGATTACAACCTGGTCAATCTCTGTCTCTCGCTTGACTACTCAATGCGCCTCGGGTAAAGAAAGTTGGGTTCCGGTGGAGATTGTTGAGGATGAAGATATCGCCTTAATAGTAGATGCATTTTGACTGCATCCAGACTCCACATTTATTGAGTTGTATGCGAAAATAGACGCTGGTGGACAGTTAAGCAGTCAACATTCTGACTCTTCCATTCAGTCGATTAACATGAATAGAGAGTCATTGGTGAATCCTGAAAATAGATATTTGTCACCTCCACCACTGGTACCAATATCACTTGAATTGCATCCTACCTAAGATGAGTATGCTCTAACGTGCTGTAGAGACAGCCCAGACGACCAGAGGAATGAAGGGGTTATTCCCGAAAGCGACTCATTAGACACCGATGTTGAGGGCAATTTCGATTCATGTCCGTCCAGTGCCATATGTCATCCAATTCCTTCACCGGGCATTGTTGGAGGGCAAGACCCGCCAGTGGCAGGTTAGTAACCGAAATTCATGAAAATTAATTGAATATTATATTTATGTAACAATGTTGAACGATTGTGGCGAATATGTGCTGATACAGGAGACGAGAATGTTCCTTTTTGGTCTCAAATAAGTTACTATACGACTATCAATTGGGCACACCCAGATCTGGAGTTGTCGGCAATGGATGAAACACAAGTACCTAATTGGAAAATGGGTCAAGAGCTGTATAAAGACCAGGTTTTTGATAACAAGCATGATGTGCAGATGATTATAAAACAATTTTGTATGGCGGAGTATCATATAACCGTTGTAGCTAAAAGTGATACAATATTGATCATGGTGTGTGAAAATCACAACGACGGTTTTCCGTGGAGGGTGCAAGCACACATAAAAAAGGGCAGCACCGAGTGGATTATCGGCATATGGGTTAACCAACATAATTGTGTAAACCATACTCTTTCTCAAGATCACAAGCAGCTGGACTCTAACTTTATTTGTTCAATGATTCTATGTATGTCAAATGTCCGCATTTTATTTTAATATTTTTGAATGAAGTTAATAATAAATAATTATTTTATGACATGCAGAAAAGATAAGGGAAGAACCCAATGTTAAAATATCACTAATCAAAGAATGGACAGATACAAATCATGGGTTTCATAGGAAGGCGTAGAAGGCAAAGCAAAAGGCAATTGTCAAAATTTATGGGGATTGGGATGAATTATACGTCCTTTTTGCCAAGATGATTGGATTATATGTTGCGATTTTTGCCTGGGGTTGACTATAAGTTGGATTTAAATGATCGTTTTGTTGACAACCGGCTGGATCAATCTCAGAAGGTGTTCGATGGGGTTTTTTTGAACTTTTAAACAATATGCCGATGCCTTCAATTATTGTAAGCCCGTTATCCAAATAGATGGTACCCACTTGTATGGGAAATATCGAGGGACCCTATTAATTGCAACAACTGTGGATGGAAACAATTACGTGTTGCTTATCGCTTTTGCGGTTGTAAATGGGGAGAATCTTAATGACTGGTCGTGGTTTTTAGCATTAATACGGATGCACGTGACACAAAAAGAAGACATATGTCTTATATCTAACCGGCATGCAGGCATACTATCCGCAGTCAACAATACGACACTGGGCTGGCAACCACCCAAACCATACCACGTTTACTGTATTCGACATCTTGCGAGTAACTTCAACCACAAGTTCAAGAATGTAATGTTGAAGCAGCAATTGAAGAAGTTTGGTATAATTTTTGACTTATTCATATACTTTTCACAACTTGTGTGGAATATTTCTTGAAGCTTCGGTCTTTGTTATTGTACGCAGGTTATACAACTTCGCGATTGGATTTTGATGCTGGGTTAGAGAAATTAAAATAATCAAGTCCACAAATAGCCGCATGGATAGATCAGATTCTAAAAGAGAAATGGAGTATCGCATATGATGCAGAGGATAGAAGGTTTGGTCACATGACCTTGAACTTGTCAGAATGTGTTAATAAGATTTTCAAGGGCGTAAGAAACCTTCCCATCACTTCTTTGGTTCATCTCATATACGCGCATCTCGTGCAATACTTTCTTGAATATGGACAAGAGGCCCGCGAGGAGAAGGCCAGGGGGGCTGGTTCACCAAAGTACTCTAACAAGCATATTTGGAAAATCAACAAAAAGCTGCCACACATTTTGCACATGTTATGATCCTTAGAAGACAAGATTTGAGGTCCAAGAAACGTACAACCAGCGTACTCATTGGGGTGGTAAGAAATGGTTGATTTTATTACCTGATCAGACCTGCCAGTGTGGTGAATTTACTACCTTTAGGTACCCGTGCAACCATGTCATAGCAGCTTTCACAGCTACAAAACCATGATAAAATGCAATACATTGATCCCGCTTACAGTGCTGCATATCAATGCCAGGTATACTCAGGTCAATGGTACCCGATCAACAATGAGGAATTCATACCACCCAGTGTTGGACCAATTGTAATCCCAGATGTGTCGATGAGGTGTCAGAAAGGAAGGCTTAAAAGAAACCATATACGTAATGAGATGGACGTACGAGAAGGGACCATGACTCGCACACGATGTTGTTTTTATAGGATAGTTGGCCATAATAAGCGCAATTGTCCTGCGCGGAACCCAGCTACGCAATGTTGATCATTTTGGGTTTTCTACCACATATTAGTTAAAAGTTGTTTAGAAATGTTATAGGGGAAAATGTGTATCATTTCATAGGATATAAAGTTGTGTCATTTTAAGTGAGAGAAAGAGATAAATCATGGAAGAGAGAGTGGAGGGAAAAAGTTTTAAAGATGTGGGTCCCACCTCTTTGTCAGAGTGAAAAAATGTTAAAGATGGCAAACATTTTCCCAATATATGTATTATATCTGTAAGTGTTATAACTATGTTGATTTATTAGTAGGGGTTTTATTATATCAAAATGTCCAAAGTGCATCATCATACATAACTAGGATAACCAAAAAATATCAAAATGTCCATAGTGCATCACCATACATATACCGGATAACAAAAAAATATCAAAATGTCCA